TCCCCCCACTCCCACCCCAAGCACACATTACAAGGCCGTCTCTTTTAAATCATTCAGATTTGGCATTCGAGACCGATTTGTTCTGTTATAAGGGTGCCCATTTGGCCCACTCTTGGCTCCCAGCTGTTCAGAGTAAGAAGGCCCTTCTGTGGCACTCCGGGTCACAGAGGACACGTGCCAACCAGGGTCCATCTGACCTGGCAGCTGAAGGGCTGGCCTGCCCTTTGGTGTCGGCTCCTGCCGGATGTTACTGCTTCCGCCAGAGGCCTGGCCCAGGGAGTGAATCCGAATTTCTGAGAAGGCATTTTTGACTTGTTGAGCTGTTAAGGGCTGGAAGCGGGGGTCCGCCGGAGCCGGGTGATTGGAAGCTGAAGAGAGATGCAACAGCTTGCGCAGTGATTTTAATGGCTGGCTCTGGAAGACAAGAGGAGAGTGTGTAGGGTAGACTGGAAAGCTGGGAGGAAACAGATCTGAGAAGACGCCACAGAGCCAGGGATGGTGGGCCCTGGGGGGAAGGAGGGCCTAGTTCAGCCTTACCTGTTCTTTTGTTCTTTTCCAGACAAGATTGAAGTTATTTTTCTTTAATAAAAAAGTCTAGAAATCCAGATAAGAAATCTAGAGCTGGTGTGGTGGCTGATCAAAGGCTTAGGCCCCTTCTAACTGGCTGCTTCCCACCTTTCGAGAGGAGGAGGATCTCATGCTTAAACCAGTGGGAAGAAGCAAAAGAAGGGATATGACTCTCCCTTTTGAGAAGATTTCCCACCAGCGCCACCCACCGAAAGCTGCCACTTTCATTTCAGTGGCCAGGACTCAGCCATAAGACCATATCTAGCTGTAAAAGAAACTGAAAAAAGGTAATGTTTTAAATAGCGAGCAACACACATGGCTAAAATTTATATATCTCCCTCTGTTTTTTGTTTTGTTTCCTTTCTTAGCTTTTTATTATTTAAAAAAAATTTTCAATTATACTTTTTATTCAATATTATTTTGCATTGGCTTTAGGTGTAGAGCATAGTGGTTAGACAATCATATACTTTACAAAGTGTTCCCCGCTCTGTTCTTATCTTCCTGATTTTCCCTTTCCCCGAAAAGAGCTTTTCTGGCAAAAGAAGTGGTTATACAAAGAAGGTTCTGAAGCCCTATACTCTTCATTTTAAAATTGGGACTAGAACATCAGGCCCTCACTCAGAGCCTTGTGCTCTACATTTGGATACATATGCAATAACTTGGATATTTGGTTCTCTATACCCTTTCCACCCTCCAGCCTACATTAATTATGTTATAAGCAGAAAATATAAATTGTTGGGCAAATACACTCAAAATTTGGAGAACTCCTTCCAGCAACTCTAAGTAACAGCTTACAATTAAAGAGTAAACAGCAAACCTATAAAAATATGCACCCTCTTCCTCCAAATCAAAAGTAATCCTAGAACCCCAACAGCTCATGTGGGTTGTCAGAAATTACAGTATAGAGGAATAATGGATGTGTAAAACATTGAATGTGATCACGAAACAAGTTAGATCATGTTACTATGCTCATTACAGGATACTGAAATGATACAATATTTTTAAATTTCCAATCAAAATAGTTGTTTAAAAGCAGATAAACCTCAGTTATCTGAAAAATTTACGGATTCGGTTTCTGCTTATTCCCCCATTATGACAGAGATGTGAGTGTACATGCCGTCTAATATGTACTTAGTATAGATTTCAAGAAAGCTTATTGCATCTTTCAAGGCCCAGTTCATATACTACCACCTTCAATGAAACCTTAAATCTTCCCACTACCTCTTCTCACCTTCCCCTACATTTTGTGGCATGCCTCACTTTTTACCACCAATTATGGTTACTTACGGATTTTGTCTCTCCTCGGCCACAGAGTATTGGTGGGCTGAGCCATGTCTTGTTCATCCCTTCAGCTCACCTGCACCCATACCCCCATCTGGGTGAAGTCTAACAGAAGACCACTTTTTCCCTTAGTAACGCAATATCCATCTGGACCGCCACGATGCACCTGGCTATTAGTGAGGGTATATTCCAGGGAGACTCTCAGCCTTGTTGTAACATTGAGAGGCTTATCTCTCAGCCCTGACCCCTCCCCTTAGCAGAGATGATCACTGCAGTCTAAGAGTCTCAGAGTGATGCATGTGCCACTCACTGGAGTCTGTAGATCGGAGATCTTCTCAGGACGCCACTCCTTTGGTCTGCTGCTTGGGGTGTTAACAGAGTGAATGGCTTTCTGCAATGTCAGAAGATCGGGGCCTTCAGAATTGGGCACCTAGAGCAGGATATAGACAAGGATTCCATCAGGAGACCAATAAGCCTAATTAAGATATGCAACCACACCCAAGAGGAAAACAAAAGCAAATCAGACCAACCCAAAATTCAACCTCCCCAAGGACCCCCAAAACAACAACAAAAAAGGAAAAAAGAAAACCCCAAGGAAAAAAGAGACCCAAACTCTCCCAATGTTCACAATGCAAGTGATGCTAGTTAAATTCTGCTGCCCTCTTAATAATTTTCCCTGCATTAGGAAAAATTGGCAGATGTCATGCAGCTTTGTTAAAACCTCAACCCTCAAAGCATTCCCATGCTGTTAGTTTCAGTCGCTGTAAGAGAGAGCAGTTAAATTGGGCTGTACCAGGAATTGCTGTCGTATCCTCATTCCACATTGCAGTTAGGTTATGAACCAGTTCAATAAAACAAAAATTTGTTCCTGCTGGGAAAATGATCCAGACACTGTGTTTGGTGGTACTCAAAGAAGTCGAGCAGGTTTTCAAGGGTAGCAAAGTGCAAAAGTATGGTTTGAATCATAATCACAAGACACTGCCCAGTAAAGAATCTGGGTCTAGCATTATGCACGACGAGAATGCTGGAAATTTGTGCCACAAATTCCACACGAATGCAATTGGTCCGTTCACTGATTTTGGTGCACACAGTACAGTAATGCCAAAGGCCAAACAAGAGCCCTGGCTTTAAACCAAGTGACCAGCAAAGCTAGAGCCAGGCAAGATAAAAGCAAATCACCAACTAACGGAAGCTGTTTTTTCATGGAGCCGGCTAGCTCACTCAATTTGGTCAATTCAACTTGGTTTCAAAGAAACAAACTGCCAACCAAGTGTTAACAAATGTTGTGAGCCAAACAAAAAGACATTTGTGAATTACAAATGTTAATCAAATTCTTTACAGGAAATAAGGGGCTTTATGAATGCTGTCTAATCAGACAACCCAAACTAGCCTTTCACTAGTTTGTTTGCTCAATAGCCTTTTATACTTCAACCTCCTTAACTGATCCAGAAAATCCAGAATGGCAAAGAATTTATATCTCAGTGAATTTATGGAACTGGCTCAGGTACTTAACTAGCACAAAGAGAATATGACCCCATGAAAATAAAAGACATGCTGTTGTCATCAGTAAAACAAGTTTACTGGAGCAGTTTTCAGGGCTACCATACGTAAAAATGGGTACCATGGGTGGAGTGACTACAGGAAGCTTTTTCAAAGAAGAACTATGCTTTAAATGATTCTTTGAATTAAAAAGAGGAAAGAGGGATTTCTTGATGCTTGGATTCTCCCCGTTGGTGGAATCTGTCTGCAATATAAGATACAAATAAACTAATTGCAAAAGAAAAGAAAAAAAGGTGTTCTCACTGAAACTTCTAGCCCTCAGAAGCCCTCAAATTGTTAAATATTAACAGTCACTGAAAGAATGTCTGTGCTGTGTGTACATCTAGGGGGGTACTGTGTCACTTCTCACCTGGACATAAAGAAGCCAACCATGTAATTTAACACATGCAAAAAACTTCTACATATATAGAAAACATGTGGTCATGATCAACACCTATAGAAGTAATGCCTAGAGGCCTACACACACCACTCACATTAAGCTTACAAAACACTGAAGACTTATTCATTATCAGAAATATAATTATTATAAAGAATTGTGTTTAAAGAGCTATTGATGAACTTCGATCTCTTTCTAACTGCTAGAGAAGACTTCAGCAACTAAATAACCTACCATCAATCTGCCTATTAGGGAAAAAAAAACAAAGATACTGCAGACCCTTTTGAACGTGGTCAACTCTTGAACCAGACACATCACTTGGAAGAGGAAGACCACTGTCACAGGATCCTATCGTCAAGGAAGAAGCCTGGTTCTAAGCTGTTGGAAATATTCACCCCATGGAAATAATCTGCTGCAAGTCAGAATATGGGATTTCAAAGTGAAGAAACAGAAAGTTCAGTCTTTAAATTGAAGCATGATTACCAGTTGAGGTAGATACTAACTCGGGTACAACTACCAAGTTGGCAGTCACCATATGCTCTTAAGGCTTATGTAACTCTCTGGATTTGGAACTGAAGCCAGATTTTCCCAGGCAGCTTCCAGATTTGCTTAAGTCAAAGCAGGCACCTTTACAACACACAATTATTTTTTGGCACCACTTTTCCCTGTTGTGGGGAATCTCAGTTCTCAGAAAAGAATGGTGAGGGTATTCCGACCATCTTTTATGGGTGCGTGTATGAGTGAAACAGCCCATGAAGTTTCCTGTTTCCATGACTGGGTCCCAAGGAAGAGTTTAACTCGCATCACTATAGGGGCCACAAGAGAGCCCTCAGGAACAAGTGACCTAAGGCTCTCCACAGAGGTGGGTTGGTGGCAGGGACTGAGCCTGGGCCTGCTAGTCAGGAGAACCCACCTCTAGTTCTCTCAACTGATAGTGCGACTTCGGGCAGGTCACAACTTGCCTGGGTAGTTCCTATATCAGCGAAATAAAAGGGTTAAACTAGATATTTAGGACCCACTGAGGCTTTAAGATGTCCTGCTTCTCTAAGTGCCCTGGGCATCAGATTTCCCTCTAGAATCTTATGCAAATGCCACAAAGCTTTAAATCTTTTGAAGCTCAGTTACCTAGTTTCCTTTTATTGAGTTCTAGAAAGTGAAAAAAGCTAACTTTAATTCTATTTCTGCTCATTCGAGGCAGAGTTAAGGAAATGCCAGGCTTAGGAACCTGAAGTCTGGCAGGATATACTAAGTGCTCTTTGGAAATCTTACTCTAGATACCAAAGTCCTTAAAAACATTTTTTTTAACTAAAAATCCAGAGGTACAAAAAAACTTTTGGTTTGGAAGGCTTAACGCATTGTGGCCTGTACAGGTATTTTGCAGTTACTTTACATATCAAAAATGTAATGTATGAAAACCTTAAAAAAGGAAGTTCAAGTGGAGAGGATGTTAGAGAATAATACTTTTGCTATTTACCCTAACCTGTACTTTTTCAACATCTAAAATTTGAAACAGATCCTGAATAATAGTCAGTCAACATGTATATATATACTCGACTCAGGCCATGATGAGCCAGGGGCTTCAAGTTTAATGTTGGTCTAAGACAGACATCAGAAGCCAAATCTGCCCTGGCCAGTGTAGCTCAGTTGGTTGGGCATCATCCTGGGCACCAAAAGGTTGTCAGTTCGATTCCTGATCAGGGCACATGCCCCGGTTTCTGGCTCAATCTCCGGTAGTGAGCGTGCAGGAGGCAACTGATCAATGTTTCCCTTACATTGATGTTTATCTCTCTCTCTTCTCCCTTCCTCTCTCAAAACCAATTTAAAAGCTCTTTAAAAAAAAAAAAAAAAAGCCAAATCTATACATAAAACACTTTCAGTCCCTTGGTTTCTGCCACTTTCTTCCACTTAACCACCCCACAAGTGGCTATAGGCCTGCGGTTAAAAACAAACACATCAAAATAAGAGTGGTTAAGAGGCGGCAGTCTAAATTCAATGTTCATGATGGACAAATGTTCTATAGACAATGATAAAAGATTATTTTATTACCACTGTAAATATTTTGGGCTTTTCTACTTTAAATAAGGTTTGTTTTGTTCATCCAGTCTAAATAACAAATGTAGTAATATTTGGTTGAGTGACATTTTGACTTGAAATTCTGCTTTAAGTGGGTTTCAGTTAGAGATATAGGCAGTTTTTAAAAAATAAACACTTCAGGAATATCATACAGCCATTAAAATGAAGATAATAAAACTTGTGTAGTAACATACATGTTGTGTGTATTGATAAATATACTATTAAAAGCCAGAATACAAAATTGTACTAAAATGATTACTATTATTTAAAACAAACTAAAAAACCACCTTTCCGTCATAAACAGATGCATAGGCTAAAAAGCTAAGAGGAAATATACCAAAATCCTAATACTAGTTGTGATAGGGTGTTAAGATTAGAAATGATCATTTTTGTCTCAACTTCTCTGTAATGAGCTCATATTTATTTTATAATGAACTATATAAATTCAATAAACAAGCAAGCGAAGGAATAATCTAGAAAGGTAATCTAGAAGGATTAATAATACTTCTAGAACATCTGTGAAGTAAAAATCCTTATTTCGGCATCTCATCTTTACTAACCATTGAGTTATAACCCTAGAATCCTTTTTCCTTTTTAAATAAATGAGTCAATCACATGTGAAGTAAAAGTAGAAACAAAATCATATAAAATGGTCCACTCAACATTGTGTAGTCTGGAAGATGTCATAAAGCAAAGAGGAAGCAGGCCTCACATGGGTAAAGAAGTGTCTGCTGGCCTGGAGGCCTGGCTTCCCCATGTTTTCTCGTGTCACTAAAAAGCAGAATCCTTGCTTGGGTAGTTCAGTGATGTGATATGCACGGTTCCATGGAGCTGGCCCTGGGTTCAGGCGGAGGGCTCCCAGGAGCTAGACTCATTGCATTTCACAGTTCAATCACAGGACAAACATGTCTTCCTACTAAAGCAAGTCCTGAAATGTCAAATACTAGTTCCTCTCCGTGACTGCAGTGCAGAAGGGCACTTGTCAACATGGGACTTGGATAACCAGCCAGGGGAGAATGAATGATAGTCAGTTATGATTTTTAAGAGTTAAACAAAGAACAAAACCATTTACTAAGTTTTCACATATCTTTAACCCCCAGAGAGAAATAAATCCTGTAGCTTCATAGTTTTTACATGAATACAAATCCGAATAGATAAGACGTTTACTGAGAGAGGCTTGAAAAGTGTTCTCTCTCACCCAAATTAAATTCTTCTATTCCTGGAGATTCTGTTGAATCTAAAAAAGGCTCTGTGACAGGAGGATAGTTGTATAGAATTTGAGAAAAAAACATATACAGTGTATACATGGCAGGTCTCAATAAGGAAATAATTCACTGTGATTGCCAGGTACAAAATGCAAAGTATCCACGGACTAACGTAGACTTGTTTGCCATTGTCCTACATATAGAAATTAGCCATCTACTTACTGTTTGAGATTTCTTCTTTTTCTTTTTCATTGACCTGAAAAAACCTTGTTTTTCCTTTTCCTTGAGCTGTTCGGCATGACTGATGTTTTCAGGACTTTTCCTAAAAGGGAAGACATTTTTATCACATTGATTTTTTAGTCACTCTCCTACCATTATATGACAAATATAATGAAGATGAAAATTTCATGACAGCAGGTTCAAATAGCCATGAAGATTCAAGTACACAGGTAAAGAGCATCTAAAAAGTACAGGAGGAACTGAATGTAATCAACCATGGTCAAGGATTTGCCTCTGGCATGGACTCATTTGAACTAGCAATTTGAGCATTATTACAAATGACCTGTAACTCATGCTGTTGAAGACCTCAGAATTAGGAGTGTGAAAAGCACATGGTCTGAAGGATGCCTTTCTGCAACCCTCCGAAGGGAAGAGCAGAAACATTTTCATTATCTTCATTTTTCTATTTACCTTCTTAAAACCAGCTCAACAAGTTCATTAATAGCGGCTTGCCAAGGTACTGATCATAAAAAACAAATGAAAAATTCAATGCTGCTACAGGAATATCATAAATAAAAGTAAAAAATGCCTGAAGCTGGAAAATTCCTTTATAAAAATCTTATAGCCATATGTTAATACTAAAAAAAAAAAATAGATAAGGGAAGAAAAAATGGACAGGAAAAAATGCTTAATACAAATGACTCTTCTGGAAAAAAAGCCTCTAATTGAAAATACTGACATTATGCTTCAGACCACCCACCCATTTTAATACAAATAGGAGATATTAAAAGACAGCAAACAAGACACCTTGGCCCCAACAAGTTGGCTATGTGTATGTTAACAGAGGCCATATATTACTTAATTTAACCTACAGTATTTAAAAAGCAACTCAACTGGTGTTATTTTTCAAAAAGGCACATTCCATGGGCTCTACTTTATATTTGAATATCTATAGAACTATGGGAAACAGCTTTCTCAAATGATTGGATTCCTACTGCTATTCCCTAAAATCAAGAGTAGAAAAATTAAAGGTGACAGAGTTTGTTCATATTTATGGTTTTAGGACACCTAACAGTGAATAAGTTACTAGAACATCTAAGAAAACATGAGCAAAGCAGCATCCTTTACTTGATTAAATATGTGTAAAGGCAGAAAACATCTCTATAAATGATTGCAGATTTGCACCATAGAAAACACCATGAAGCTATTAAAAATAAATCACATTGCCAAAGAATTTTCATTGATATGAAGGAATATTCAAACCACAGTACTAAGTAAAAATAGCAGGATTCAAAACTTTCTACATAATATGAGCCTAGCCATATTTTTAAAAAAGGAATATATGTGTACATATACATACATTTTTTAAAAGGCAGAAAGAAATAAAATAAAATCTTAATAGCTATCATTTCTGGGTAAGAGAATTATTTTGGTGATTTATAGTTCCTTCTTTTTAATTTCAACACCAACATGTACTGCACAGTGATAAAAAGGTTTTACAAACCACAAAAAAATTTATTTGAAAAGCTAAGAGCTCAAGGTCAAAGACAACAAGGGAAGAGAGGGTGATGATGGTGCAGGGTAACAGAGAGAAAGAGAGTAAAAACCATGACTGTTTGAAGGAGCAATGATCATCTCTTCTAAAGTGTTTAGCCTAAAAGTTAATGGGAATCCCAAGGAAGTAAAAGCATGTACTGTAGGCCCATGTGTTCCTGAAATTCATCAGGACCTGCAATTTTAAACATCATCGAGAGAGTCCCAAGTTCTGAAGTGAAAGTTTTATAATACAACACAACCAATAAAATGACTAGTGTTGAAACTCTGAGTAATCCATTTACAGTTTTGAAAGACAGAAAGCTTCAGACATGATGGAATGAGTGAGAATGAAATAAGTGAAAAGTTGATTCTTTAAGTACAGTGCTGGGGAAAACATCCTTTCCCAATGACAGACCGGGCCTAGACCCTGAGAATTCGGTCAAACTTTCTTACGACAAGTACTCTTGAGATTAAGGAGATGAAACCCTCTTACATGAGGCCTAAAGACAGACTGCCCTAAACTCAGTTCCAGGTCGCAGCATTTAGTCCTGTGCGGGCTCTAGGACACGCAGCAGAATAGCATTGTTTGCTGGAACCACAAAAGCAGGACCCTTAGGATTGAAAGGAACCTCAGAGAGCATCTAGTCCAACTAGCAATGCTAGTTTTAATGTTCTGCAACTTCCAGAGGTTAAAAAATTATTTGCTTATGATATAGCCTGTGTCCTTCTATACTGGGGTCTGCACAGCACGGTATTCAGATGAACAGGTAGAAGCTTTTACCAATCAGAATGAAAGTCTAACAAAATCTCAGGTCTGTCGAGGGTAAGTAGTAAAGGTGCTTTCTGTCAATCCAGGAAATCTTTAAGGGGGACATGTTCATCAAGACTACAGCCCTAGGAAGGGAATGGGTGTTACTACAAGAATGTTAATGCTGGTGAGAGAGGAAATGAAGGCTTGAAACCCTGGTCCTAAGAGGAGCAGGATGTGAGACGGGCAGAGTTTACCTAATAAGATGAAAGTGAGAGGATGGAGGCAGAGGAGGGTAATGAAAGGGAAGGAGCAGGACAAAAAACCAGTGCTCACTGTTCCTATGACCCAAACACAGGGAAGATGAATCAAAGGCCTTCTGCAGTCTTTTCAGAGGCAGTGGGTAAACTAGAGCCTGGGGGGAGGGGGGACGGTGAGGAAAACATCTTCACACTGAAGCTGCGCAGAGGTGGTGGGGCCAGGATCTAGGCAGGGAGAGATCCCAGAGGCCAAAACAGAAAATAAATTACCCTTGAACTAGAGGATGAAAGCCAGGAGTGAAGCGTGGGTGTGCATGCACAGAAGGAAGTCAGA